CTCTGCCTTAGTGTCTTCAGGGCTCTTAGCCCTGCCTCAGAGTGTCTTCGTATTGGTCTTCCTGTCTGCTCTCCCACTGGAATGTGAGCTGCGTGAGAGCAGGGAATGTTGTCCTTGTTCAGTGCTACGTTTTTAGCACCTGAAACGGCCTGACACATAGTAGGCCTCAGTAAACATTTGTGGGTTAACGAATGCCTACACCCATGGAAGGTCGAATGACGTAATGTCTGCTGTGACACTTAAGAGACTCTAGGCTACCGTATGTGCGTATTGGCTTTTTATTTAAAACATCTAGATTTGAGAGCAGTATATTTACTTTCCTAACACTGTCTCCTTGAGGCTGATCCTAGTTTGGCCTCCCAGATGGCAGGGGACAACGTCTGGGGAGAGGGAGCCTGAAATTTTACTGGAGTTATGGGCAGCCCCTCCTTGGATAAGCTACTGGTGGACAGCCACCCGTGCCCCCCCCCCCCCCGCCCACCTCGTACCTCCCATATTCTTCCTTACCAGACATTGAAACCTTTGCCAAGTGGGTTACTGGACTGCCAGTACTGAGGACTTAGAGATCTTTGGCCCAATTTCCTGGTTGAATGTGCAATTTGTAGAAGAGAAATGTCCTCATTTCCTGTGACTAGAGAAAAAAAAAACAAAACGGGGCCAAAGTCTTTAACCGCAGAAGGTAGAGAAAGCTGAAAAAAAGAACTGACAAAAACCTGGAGGTAAGGTGCAGGGAAGTCTAAGGGAGTGGTTGGAATCTTGGCTGTATGTTTTCCTTCAGACTCTCTCCAGGCTGCCCACCCCTGCCTTCTTGGACCACGGAGATCGCCGCACACAACCCTACTACAGGAGACCTCTGGCTGTGTGGTCAGATGAGAATGGCTGAGGAAGGGGCACAACAGCATCTTTTCCAGAAAGAGGAAGTGAAATAGTCAATGCCAGGTTCCCCTTTCCTGCTGGTCAGGCCCCCAAGTCAGGCTGAGCCAGCTCCCTCCACCCCTGTTTCCTGGTAGCGGCTCTAGGCTGCTGTCTGTGTTATTCATTAACCAGGCACTAATATTTCTATTTACCCATCTGTCATCCTACAGGGGATTCAGAGAAGTCTCACAATCTAACCAGCCAACCGGATCCTCTTGGATCAGGCCCAGCGAGCCACATTTAGCCAGTGTTTATTATGTCAAAAGTCTTGTGCCAGAGCCTTGTACTATACGCGTAGCCAGGGAGAGAGAAAATTTTCTCAAATAGGATGTGGTTCTGTCTGCCACTTGAACATATGTGTCGGGAGGTACATCCAGTGATGTGCTTGAGCTGGCTTGCAAGAACTGATTATTAACCTCAGCGTCTTGATGTTGGTAGAAACTGGCCCTGGGGGTAATGGGGAGGTGCTGCAAATCAGGGCTTCACTCCCCACCACCCTGCTGTTACCCACTCCACGCCCCCAACCAATCCCAAAACCTAGTTGTTAGGTTGAAAGAAGAAACAGCCCCCACTTTCAGGGAGCTACCAGTCCAATGCAAACCCTGCATGGTTGCTGTGGTGTGTTACGGTTCTTAGCTCTGTCATGCGCATTATCTCCTTGATCCTAACAAACATCTCCCTTCAGTGGTGGGCGCAGATACCAGAGTGATTGACTTAAGATGGAAATCAGACCATTCCGCTTTCTTGCTTAAAAACCTTTGAATGGCTTCCAAAACTCTTAGAATAAATTCAGACTTCTATTTATGGCCTAAAGGTTTGCATGGTCTGGTCCCTGCTGACCTCCTTGACCTCATCTTCGTGGCTGTCTCCATAAGTCACTGCATTCCAGCCTAGTGGTTCTCAAAGTGTGGTCATAATGCTGGGTCACCAGTACCAGTATCACCTAGGATTGTTGGAACTACGAACTCTTGGGTCCCATCCCAGACCTACTCATTCTGAAACTGTGGGGAGGGAAGATAGTAATCTGCTTCAGCCAACTCTCCATGTGATTCTCATATATACCCAAGTTTGTAGACTACTGCTCTAGCCCCACACTGGCCTTCTCTCAGCCTTTGGGAAGCTAAGGCTTTCTCCCTCCCTTTGCATCAGCAGTTCCTGTTTCTGGAATGCTCTTCCCATGGCCTTTGTATGGCAACTCCTTCTCATCATTCGGGTCTCCGCTGAACATCACTGACTCAGGAGAGTCTTCTGAACTCCCTTAACCTCTTGTTAGACTTTCTCCCATGTCCCTGTTTTAGTCCAGTTGTAAAAACCATTTGCCACATTCTGAAATTACCTTGTTTACTTGTTTATTAACAATTTTTTCCCATTGGAATGGAAGCCCCAAGAGGGCAGGTACCTTGTCTGTTACATACTCTGTATCCCTAGCCCTTGGAAAAGTACCTGGCTCATAGTAGGTAACCAATACATATTTTTTGAACAAATGAGTTATTAATTTCCCAGTGAAGAAATGGGCTGTATATCAAGTGACTTTTATACAGACCAACTACTTGTTAGTGAGTAGCAAAAGCTTCACCCTGAAAATCTCAGACCAGGTCGGGAGATTTTCTTTCGCTTTCGTGATTGGCAAGAGCAGCTGTGTCCCTGAAACCCTGGGAATCCCTGAGCTGGAAGGGGTTTAGCAGTTAACTGGTTCGGCTTTTATAAGATGTGTGAGTTTCCTCAGTGTCCCAGGATGGGTGTTTTCTATCTTCCACTTCAATATTCCTGGAACTGGGGAGTGACTACCTTATTGAGTTAACTCAATTCCATTTAAACAGCCCTGACTGTTTGAGAGGCAGCTCCCTGCCTCTTTTGCCCATGGTCGTCATTCTTCCCTGTGGAGCTACCTAGAATGCGTCTTCCATGAGATGGACCTCATCTTGGTTCAGCCATGTGTCCAGCATTCTCTTACTTGCTTCTCATGAGTCAATGAGAAAAGCAGGGACTTTGGAGAAAGGCAGATCTGGATTCATACTTCCTCTCACTTGCTGACCTTGGAAAGCTCCCTTAATCATCTCAGGCTACTTCTCTGGAGCGGTGTCTGGCTTTTATTACATATCACTGTCATCAATCGTCATCGTCATTATATGGTTTTAAATCTCCAAAACATTTTGGTTAATTCTTCTGGGCTTGATTCCTTGAGTTAATGTCTTTTTTTCTTTTTACTATTTTTTAAAGATTTTATTTTTAAGTTATGTCTATACCCAATGTGGGGCTCAAACTCAAAACTCTGGGATCAAGAGTCACGTGTTCTACTGACTGAGCTGGCCAGGCACCCCTGAATTAATGTCTTTTAAAAAATGTGCTGCTCATGGGGCACCTGAGTGGCTCAGTTGGTTGAGTGTCTGACTCTTGATTTTAGCCCAGGTTGTGATTTCATGGGTTGTGGGATCCTCGGGCTCCTTGCTCAGTGGGGAATCTGCTTGAGAGATTCTCTCCCTTTGCCCCTCCCCCCCCCACGCCCCCTCCCAAAATAAACAAATAAATCTTTGAAAAAAATGTGCTGCTCAGATGCTGAACATGCTACTGATTAAGACCTCAGTAAAGTGAGATTACCCTCAACTTGTTTAGACTCTATTTCTTTTAATGGCACCCAAAATCAAATTAGCTTTTTTGGAAGGTGTAATACATCCCAGATGTACAGTCAGCAGAAAATCCCAGATTTCTTTCTCACACATTACTATCAAACCATCCTATATAGTTGTCTCTCTCATATGTGATTTCCATCATTTTAAATTTGTATTTACTATATTTACTTTAAGCGGGGGTATATCTGTGTTTCACTTGGGTCACTATCTTAGAGCTAAGCGTTACTGTAAATTTTTTCAGCAATTTTATATATACAGTCTGACTGGAACTTCAGAATAACCCTGGGAGGCGTACGTCATCCTCATGATTATGGTTTGGGAATAGAGGCTGGAGGTTGGGACTTGCTCAAGGCCATCCAGCTAGGAAGCGGAACCGACAGTGAAGTCAGGGCTCTTAACACCAGTCCAGTGGTGTTTGAGGAAGGAAAACAGAAAGTGAGCTCTTCGTTGGGTGGGAATAATAAGGAAAGTCCTTCGGGAGAAAGTGAATATTGAGTGGGGTTTTACGAAAGTGGAAAAAGTAAGCAGAAGATGAGGGAATGTGGGGTTGTGGTGGGAGGAACTTAGAAGCAGGAAGCGTCGGGTGCCTGGGTGGCTCAGTTGGTTAAGCAACTGCCTTGGGCTCAGGTCATGATCCTGGAGTCCCGGGATCGAGTCCCGCATCGGGCTCCCTGCTCGGCAGGGAGTCTGCTTCTCCCTCTGACCCTCCCCCCTCTCGTGTGCTCTCTCTCTCTCATTCTTTCTCTCTCTCAAATAAATAAAGTCTTAAAACAAAAAAAAAAGAAGCAGGAAGGGTCTCTCTGAAGAGCACTTTCTTGGACAGATTGGGCCTCCAAGCTGGGCCAGCAATTCCTTTCCTGAGCTGCCTAGCATAATCACTGGGGAGCTTTTAAAAGCTCATCTGCTCTCCCACCCCAAAGAGTCAGTAGATTGGGGGCTGCCATGTGTACTGTCTTTGTACCTCTGCATGCAATTCTGCTGTATAACCTCTCTTGCAGACCACTAGGCTGGGGCAAGGGGCAGTTAACGAGACAGAGCTGGCTAGGGGTCCTTATTGTGGAGAAGTGAGTTAAGAAGGTGGGATTGGGCAGGGAGACAGGATATGAAGTAGGCAATGGAATGATAGGATAGGAGTTCCTGGGATGAAAACTTTTGACAATAGGAAAACTGCAGGTTTCTAAGCGGGAGGGTCACGTGTTTTAGACCCCTGAGATACACCTGGTAATGTTAAGTCAGGATTCACCCCACATCCTCTTTCTATGTCCCGTCTCTGTTCATCAGAGGAAACAGGATTCCACCGGCCCCCTCCCTAACTCCATTCATTACATCCTGACCTTAAAATACTTCTGTGGTTTCACATGCATCACCCTCCCCTTGTGCTACTGAGTCAGCTTCTTCATTGCATGTTCGCCCTCCCTGAGCTTGCAGAAAAGCACAAACATTGTGGACACACGCTTCAGAGTTTTACCGTCTTTATTTTCAGTCTGCCAGACCAGGTTGTCTACTCCTGTGCTAGTCAGTGTTAACCTCTGACTGATGGGCGCCAGGCTGTGTCCTGACCCATGTGGGGGTGCCACAGAGGGAGAAGACGAGACCCAGACTTCAGGCAGGTTTAATACGGGGAGGCAAGATACACATGTGGAGATGACTGGAGCATACTTACAAAGCAGCAGATCAAAGCGATACAGTACAAACCCAGATCGTTAGAAGTCACAGTTCCTGGTCCTCCCTCTTAGTCCTCTTGACTCATATGACCTCATTTGGTATTCTCTTCCATCTCTTTCCCGTTGTCTCCTTTCTAGTATCAACAGCTAGACCAGTGTCTAGGTGTTGTTTCAAAGCTTGTAGCAAGATTGCTTTAGGACACTGCTTCAGCCCGATCATCCCCAGCTACCAACCATCTCCCAAGGACTGAATTTGTATTAGCTACATTGCTTCTGAAACTCCAGTCTCAGAGTGCTTCTGTGCCTAACCATTTCTCCTTTGGTCCTGGAGCTGTGCTCCTTTGGGAAGAAAACTTCAGTCAGGAAGGGATACCAAGCCGCTGAGAGAGGATTTTACAGCCCCAGTAGTGGATGGGTCTGAGGATTTCTGACCCTGAGACAGGAACCCTGATGTTCCCCCTCTCCCAGGCTGCTCAATGCCTGTGTTACCCAGAGTGCCTCCAAAGGTCCAGGGCACCCCTAGTCTGTGGTGAAGTCAGAACTCGGAGCTCCCTCTGCTTGACTCACACCCCTGTCCGCATTTGTCCCCTCTGCTGTCTCTCGGCCTCTGCGTCCCAACAGGGAGGAGCTCCGATGCCGCAGGATCTGCAGCCCCTTCCCAAAGGCTCTGCGCACAGCTGACGAAGAGAAATAGAAAAGCAGGGGGTCCAGACTGGCATTGAGGGAACTGAACACCACGGCTTCCACCCTCCACTTGGGGCTCTTCTTCGTGTAAAACCCCACCAGGTGGGATACGTTGTAAGGCCCAAAGCACACCAGGAAATTAAGGAGCGTCACGACAGCCAGCCCTACAGCTCTGCGCCGCCTCTGGGCCCCTACGTGGGGCTGGGTGAGCATGATCCACACAAAGCGCCAGTAGCAGAAGATGGTGATCACCATGGGGACGAAGAACAGGAAGAGGCACAGCTCCAGCCTCACAGAAAGCACCACCTTCAGCTGAGATTCGGTGAAGTTCTCGTAGCAGGTGATGCCGTTGTCACTCGTGGCATTCTTGGTTGAGTTCCAGTACTGACCGATGATCACGATGGTGCAGTGACCAAAGGACAGGATCCAGGCCACCAGGGCAGCGATCACTCCATACACGGGCTTGCGGGACAGCTTGTACTGCACGGGGAAAGCCACTCCCAGGTAGCGCTCGATGCTGATGCCGGCCAGGAGCCACGTGCTGCAGTAGATGCTGCTGTAGAAGCCGAAACCCGTGAGGGCACAGAGCAACTCGGGCAGATACCAGCGGAAGTCGTACGCAGCCTCAATTATCTTGAAGGGCAGCAGCAGCAGCAGCAGGAGGTCCGCCAGCGTCAGGCTGAGCAGGAGGATGTGGATGGGGGCAGGGTGGGGCTGGCGGACCCGTCCCACGAAGGCCCGTAGCGCCAGGAGGTTGGCAGGGAGACCAGTGAGGAAGATGGCGATGTAGGCCGTGAGGATGAGGGAGTTGCGCCAGTTGGTCATGTTGGCTCTGGAAGAGGTTGGAAAAGGGCAGGGTCAGGAAGTCCCACTCCCAGCCTGAGCCCCACCCCTGCCAGGTTCAGGATGGGGACATCCTCCCTGGTGCTCTCCCCTTCCCAGGCCAAAGCTTTCTGCTGCTGCCGCTGCTTGCTCACACCACCCGCCAGAACTGCCCAGAGCAATTATTGACTTTGCCTGGGGCGGGATATTAAGCAGTAGCTATTACGTTGGCCATCATGTGTCTCTGGGGGGGACCAACCCTTGGCTTTCTCCTCTCCTCACAGATACAGGAAGTTGCTGTTATCAGCTTCCACCTTTCCTTAAGTTCTTTACTCAGTCAAAGATCCATGGAGAGAAAAGGCAAGCCTCATCTCACGAGGGGAGGCCTGTGAGCTGTCTCTCGGCTGTGAGACCCAGTCCCGGCTCTCCACAGGACCCCGCCACACGCCCAGGAAGCAGGTGCCTGGCCCCCCAACCGATCCCCCTACCTTGTCTTCCTCTCCTTTTGCAGAACACAGATTCTCCTCCACTTTTTTCTCCCCTGACCAGTGCCGGACTCTGGGACTATTACTGAAAAGAGGAAGCTAATGAGGTATGGGGGAGGGGCAGTGGGAAGGAAGGGTGAGCCTGTATTATCTTTTGGGGCTTGTCCCCTAAAAGACTTTAGACCATATTCAGAAAAGCTCAGTGTTTTAACTATCAGCAGAAGAACTCTCAACGGGGTCACTCAGTTTCTACTTGGCTTATAACCCTTGCTGCCCAAACACAGCCCAGCCCCTCCATCCTCTCTCTGGGCTTGAGGTCCCGGTCTGTTTCCTCGATCCCACCTCCACTGGCTCCTGTCTCCATGTATGAGCCTCACATCCTGTTTCTCACAGACTTCCGGCAGCCCGCCAGCCCCTTCCCCTCCACTCCAGATCCCAGCATCTCTTCCCAGAGCACAAGCACTGAGCCAGCTGCCTTGCCTTGTCTTCAGTCCAGAGAGATGGCTTCTTGGGATTAGTCCTGAAGGGAAGTCTGAAAGCTTCTGGGAAAGAGGAACAGGGCTTTAGCCACTGCTACTGCCCATTTCACACAGGAAAAAATTGTAAGGAACCTGCTGGTAGAAAGCTTTTATACTATCACAAGTCATGTGACCAGAGAGAGGAAGGTCAGTAATTGAACACTGTCTCCTCTCAAACCTGAAGGATGGGGCGCCCGCCAGCATCTTCATTCTCCCCCTAGAGATCCTCACTCTGACTTCCAAACCCAGCTTCTCTGTCCCTAGGTCCTGAATTATTTTTTCATTCCCAGGCATTTTTCCCATTTCTTAAGTCAGATGATCTTATCTTCTCTTTTCTAGGCAATTTCTTTTGTAATTCTTCTCATTTTCGGAAAAGATGTTTCCTCTTTCCTTTTAGTCTTCAATTTTTTCTTTCCTATGTGGTCTCCTGTCCTCGGCCCTCAACAGGTTACTTTTGCCCTCTTGGTTGAGACAGATTGGTTTCGCCTAGCCTGCGTCTTGTTCTGGTGGAAATAGCATGGCATTTAGAGTCATGCAGATGTGGGCTCAAACCCAAGTCCCTTCACTGGCACCTTGGAGCAGATGAATTTTCTGAATTTTAGCTTCCTTTTTGGTCAAGTGAGGATGGGAATACTTACCTCCCAGGGTTTTTGGTGAACTGTGGATGAGATGGCATGTATAAAGCATACAGTCCAGTGCTGAGCACTGAGTGGGTGCCCATGAGTGGAAGTGTGCTGGCAGCTTTGGAGAGAGTAAGTCACTTGGTAAAATATCCAGAGGCTGAGGGCACCGACATGCCGTCCGACTCGGGAGAGTGTCAGGGATTCAGGAGGTATGCCTGTGTGTCTCTTTACAGGGGAGTTGTGCTCAGGCTCCCGTGTCTTTCCCCCATGTGTTCCCTCTCCCTGTGGGCTGGGTCCAACCTCTGAGCCACCCTTGTTCCTTCCTCACCTTTCCCCCTCTATGGAGCTCCAGGTTAGAAGCTCCTGGATTCCTGTCCAGGTGCACACATCTGAGGAAACAAAGTCAGAACACATTTGCCTCTTGACCTAGGGAATGGGTCTCCATTTTGCCATCTGTGGCCTGATCCCTGCTCTCAGAATTTTTTCCCCCGGATGTATACTCACCCCCTGTTGTTTGCTCAGTCAGTCATTTCCTCAGTCATTAGTTTTTTAGCCTAGAACCATGGGGTCCAGAGATCTTAATATTTAGCTTTTCTTTCTCTTCAGCTCTACCCTCCACTAGAACCAAGGAGTTTGATCTTTGCATTTATCTCCTTCTCCTGGCACACACATGCACTTCCCAGATAAACAGGGGAACTAAGGAAGAGACCAGTCTCTGTTGCTTGCTACCAAATATATTTGTGTCATTTTGCTTTTATGATTTTCTATAACTATTCATGAGGATCTGGATTTAATGGCCAAGCAGAAACTTCTGGCATACAGGTGTTGAGGAGTAGGACCGCTGCTTTATCTCTGCCTGTCCTCCCCCTGCCCCTGCCTTTCTCCTGTCACTGAGGCACGTCACCTATGTTGAAGGGGCCCCAGTGAACCCCCTCCTCCACATTACGAAGGTAACATAATAAAGGAAACTTTGAACTCATGACTCATAACACCCACCTATGTCACAGGAAAGGGAAATGCAACCTCTAAGCCTGAATTCAAGGGCTGAGCTTTCACAAAGGCAATGTCTTTCACAATCTCTTCCAAGTTGTTTTCTTTCATCATCATTACAACCCAGCTTTAAGGAAGTTGGGCCCATTATTTAAAGTTATGTATAATCACTTTCTCAACTTCCTTAGTCCTCAGTCACTGCTCCCATCCCCTGTCCACTCTAATCTGGGTTATATCCTTGTTTTTCCATAGGACCTGCTCATCCTCAGATTAACAGTGACCTCTCTGCTACTGAATTTAGTGGACATTTTCTTCCTCTTTTATTAGCCTCCAACACAGTTTCCATAGCCTTCTTGAAACATTCTCTTTCCACGAATTCTCCTATATTATGCTCTTCTGGTTTCCTGGCCTTTTCCCAGGTCACTTCTTAGTGACCTTCACTAGCCCACCTTTCCCTGGTCATCCTCTAAATGTTCAAGTCCCTTAAGGCTTGGTTCCAGGTTCTCTCTTATATTGGTCCTATACTCTCTCTAATCTGTTGTATGCATTCCTGCAGTGTTAATTATCATCTTCATAAACCCCAGATCTGAATCTATCTGGGCTCCTGTGAGCTTTAACATTCACATGTCCAAATGCCTGGTAGACATTGTCATTCGGATGTCTCCCAGGCACCTCAAATTCAGTGTGTCCAGAGCTGACTTTAGACCTCCACCAAATGAGGCCTCCTTCCAGCATTCTCTGTGTTGGGGCATAGGATCTCTTCCCATTCCATCCCCTGAGCCATAATCTTGGAGTCAGTCCCACTACTGTCTTCTTCCCTATATCCTCAGTGCAGTCCCACATGCTTCTCAGAGCCCATTGAAGGCATCCATCTCTCCCCATCTCCATCATCCCATCCCATCGTAAGCCACAGTCTGTTACGAGGAGGTTGGCAGGAGCTGTGACCTGTTCCTTCCCAGCCACTCACACCCTGACAGTCAATTCTCCATACTGTACTTAGTGGGATCTCTTAAAAATCTCAAGCCAGTTATATCACCCTCTTGTTTAGAACCCTTTCTGAGGTTTCTTATTGCCTTGAGGATAAACATCAAAACTCTTAACAAGGTCTATGGCCTTGCCAACTTCCAGCCTCAACTCGTATCTCTCTTCTCTCTCCTTGCTCTCTAAGCAAGACCATCTCTTGCTTCTGTGAATGTGCCACCTTTCCTCTGCCAGGGGCTCTTGACCAAGCCTCTGCCTGCAGTGCTCTTTATTTCTCATTACCCACTCTACCTCCCCTGGCAGGCTCCAGCCTTCTTTCAGATACCCACTTCCTCCTTAAGAAAGCCCTCCCTGACCTCCTAGGTTCAATGAGATTCTCTTATTGGATGTTCTCAGAGCACTGTTGCTGAATAGTATTCTGTTTCATAGATACTTTTTGTTTTATTTATCCATTCACCTGTTAATAGACATTTTTTGGGGGGGGGTTGTTTTTGTTTTTGCTTTTCAGTTTTTGGCTAGTGTGAACAAAGCTGCTATGTATTTTGTTGTTTAGGTCTTTGTGAAGATATGTGTTTTCAATTCTCTTGGGAAAATACCTACATTAGCTGAGCTGTATGGTCAGCTTTTTGTTTAACTTTTTGAGAAACTGCCAGTTTTCCAAGGTGGCTGTACCATTTTTATTCCCACCGGCAGTGTATGAGTATTCCACTTGCTCCACAGCATTGCCAACCCTTGGTATTTGTCAGTCTTAAGTTTTTGGCATTCTAATTATGTGGCATGGTATCTCACTGTGGTTTTATTTTTTTATTATTATTTTTTAAAGATTTTATTTATTTATTTGAGAGAGAGAGAATGAGAGACAGAGAGCACGAGCGGGAAGACGGTCAGAGGGAGAAGCAGACCCCCAGCCGAGCAGGGAGCCCGATGTGGGACTTGATCCCAGGACTCCAGGATCATGACCTGAGCCGAAGGCAGTCGCTTAACCAACTGAGCCACCCAGGCGCCCCTCATTGTGGTTTTAATTAGCATTTCCCTGATGACTGTTGATGTTGAGCATATTTTTAAGTACTTATTGGCCATCTGTGTGTCTTTGTGAAGTGTCTAAGTCTTTTGCCCATTTTCAAAAAATGAGATTATTTTCATATTACTGAGTTCAGAGAATTCGTTATTATGTTCTGGGTACTGCTCATCTGTTACAACTTAATGACTGTTCAATGCTCATCTGTTACATATATGTATTCTATTTTCTCCCACTATATGACTTGTGTTTCCATTTTCTTAATTATCTCTTGAGGAATAAAAAAAATTTGAATTTTGATAAAGTCTAACTCATTTAGTTTTCCTTTTATGTTTTGTGCTTTCATAAAGTCCTAAGAAATCTTTACCTGTCTATCCAGTCCAAACTTTCTTTTCCTTTCTGAATTACCTTGATATCTTTATTGCAAATGAATTTATTGTATCTGAGTGGGTCTGTTTCTTGAGTCTCTGTTCTGTTCTAGTGATCCTTATGTCTTTCCTTTCCCCATTTCCACACAGTCTCGATGGCTGTAATTTTATAATAAGTCTCGAAATCAGGAAGTGTAAGTTCTCCAACTTTGTTCTTTTCTAAGATCGCTTTGGTTCTTCCAGGTTATTTACATTACCATAGAAATCATTCTACAGAGAAGCCTGCTGGAATTTTGATTGGGATTGTGTTGAATCCATAGGTCAATTTGGAACTGTTGACACTGGGATCACATTGAGCCTTCCCCATTGGGAACATGACACAGCTCCATGATTTAGATGTTTAATTTCTCTCAGCAGGAGAGAGCTTTTACACATCTTTTCTTACATTGATTTCCTAAGTATTTTTGGTGTTCTTGCAGATTTAGGGTTTTTTTAAAACTTTGTTTTCTAGTTATTATATCATAGCATCTTTTACGATTCCTTCACAGCACATATCTCAGTGTGTTATAATCCATTTATTGTGTCCTCACAATAAATGCTTAATGTGCCTCTCCCTTAGAAACTATCCACAAAGGCAGGGGAAATGGCTGTTTTGCTCACCACTATATCCCCAGGGTCTGACAGAGAGCCTGGCACATACTAGACACTTGATAATTATTTCCTGGATGACATGTGGATGGATAAGTGGAAGAATTGGAATGGAGAGAAATCGATTTTCAAAAGCTCGGAGATCTTTGTTTCCAGCTGCCTCATTTTATCTTCTTCTGGAACTGTCCTAAGAAATCCCAGCCAGGAATCACTTGAGAGCTCTTTCGTAGATTAAGGCACTCCCACTACCTTTGTGGGAAGCTGCTGGGATCTTCCCTCATCGCCAGTATTGATAAATTAGGCTAATATACCTTTACGACCTAGATCCTGCTTGGCAAGTATGAGGGCGGTGTGGATATAAAATATTCGAAAGTGAAGGGGAATGCAGGATTTCACCAGTAGTGGTGCTAATGGCAAATAAAGAGCTGTTGTTTCATTCATTCATTCAACAAATGTGTCTGATCCCTTGAACGT